AAACTGAGAGTGATGCAAGAAAATCATGAAAAACAAGTCAAAAGCTTGCTAAAGGAGACCCAAAAAAATACTGAAGAAAATAACACCTTAAAAAATAGCCTAACCCAAATGGCAAAAGAGGTCCAAAAAACCAATGAGGAGAAGAATGCCCTAAAAAGCAAAACTGGCCAAATGGATAAAGAAGTCCAAAAGGTTACTGAAGAAAATACTTCCTTAAAAATTAGAATAGAGCAATTTGAAGCCAGTGACTTTATGAGAAATCAAGACACTGTAAAACAAATCCAAAAGAATGAAAAATTAGAAAACAATGTGAAATATATCATTGGAAAAACAACTGACCTGGAAAATAGATCCAGGAGAGAGAATTTAAAAATTATTGGACTCACTGAAAGCCATGATCAAAAAAAGAGCCTAGACATCATCTTTCAAGAAATTATCAAGAAAAACTGTCCTGACATTTTAGAACCAGAGGGCAAAATAGAAATTGAAAGAATCCACCAATCACCTCCTGAAAGAGATCCCCAAAGGAAAACTCCTAGGAATATTGTAGCCAAATTCCAAAGTTCCCAGGTCAAGGAGAAAATATTACAAGCAGCCAGAAAGAAACAATTCAAGTATTGTGGAAACACAATCAGGATAACACAAGACTTAGCTGCTTCTACATTAAGGGACCACAGGGCATGGAATATTAATATTCTGGAGAGCAAAGGAGATAGGATTACAACCAAGAATCACCTACCCAGCAAAACTGAGTATAATCCTGCAGGGGAAAAAATGGTCACTCAGTGAAATAGAGGACTTTCAAGCATTCCTGATGAAAAGACCAGAGCTGAATAGAAAATTTGATTTTCAAATACAAGACTCAAGTAGAACATGATGAGGTAAACAGGAAAGAGAAAATCATAAGAGACTTCTTAAGGTTGAACTGTTTACATTCCTGCACGGAAAGATGATATTTGTAACTCATGAGACCTTTGTCAGTATTAGGGTAGTTGGAGGGGAAAAAATTATATGTATGTATATATAGATATAGATAGATAGAGGGCACAGGGTGAGTTGAAAATGAATGGGTCATATCTGGAGAATAAAATTAAGGGGTGAGAAAAGAATATACTAGGAGAAGGAGAAAGGGAGAGGTAGAACGGGGTAAATTATCCCACAAAAAAAAAAACCAGAAAAGAAAAGGCTCTTACAGTGGAGGGGAAATGGGGAAGGTGAAAGGGAATGAGTGAATCTTATTCTCATAGGTTTTGACTTAAGGAGGGAATAACATACACACTTAATTGGGTATGGAAATCTCTCTTGCCCTACAGGAAAATAGGGGGAGAACGGGACAAGAGAGTAGGGGAATGATAAAGAGGAGGGCAGATTGGGAAAGGGAGTAATCAGAAGCAAATACTTCTGAGGAGGGACAGGGTCAAAAGAAAGAATAGAATAAATGGATGGGCAGGATAGGATTAAGGGAAATAGAGTTAGTTTTTCACAGCATGTCTACTATGGAAGTGTTTTGCATAACTGCACATGTATAACCTATATTCAGTTGCTTGTCTTATCAATGAGGGTGGGTGGGGAGGGAGGAAGGGAGAAAATCTGGAACCCAAAGTTTTAAAAACACATGTTTAAAAAAAATGTTTTCATATGCAACTGGGAAATAAGAAATACAGGAAATGGGGTACAGAAATCCATCCTGCCCTACAGGAAAACTGAAGGGGAAGGGGATAAGAGAAGGGGGGGAGAGATAAAAGGGAAGGCAGACTAGGGGAAGGGGTATTTAGAATGCATGCCATCTTGGGGTGGGAGGAGGGGCGAGATGGGGTGAAAATTCAGAACTCAAAATCTTGTGGAAGTAAATGTTGAACACAAAAAAATAAATAAAAATTACCATTAAAAAAGAAAATTTAAAAGCTTGGGAAGAGGTACAAAACCTTTCTGAAGAAATTAACTCCTTGAAAATCAGACCTGGCAAATTGAAAGCTAGTAACTCCATGAGAAATCAAGAAATAATAAAATAAAGTCAAAAGGCTGAAAAAAACAAACCAAAGAAAATATGAGATATGTCACAAGAAAAACAACTGACCTGGAAAACGGATTGAGGAGAGAAAATCTAGGAATCATCAGACTACATGAAAGTCATGAATAAAGACAGTCTGGACATTATATTTTTATAAATCATAAAAGAAGAATGTCCAGATACCTGAGAATCAAAGGAAAAAGTAAAAATCACTGGTCACCTCTTGAAGAAACCCCAAAATAAAAACTCCCAAGAATATTATAGCCAAAATTCAGAGCTCCCAAGTCAAGCGGAAAAAAAAAAAACACTACAAGCAGCCAGAAACAAAATATGAAGGAGCCACATGGATCACATAAAATCAAGCAGCCACTGTTATATAGGAGCAGAGAGTTTGGAATATGATATTCCAGAGGGCAAAGGATAAATAGGCTTACACCAAGAATAATCTAACAAGCAAAATTTACTTTAATCCTTCAGGGGGAAAAAAATGACCTTTAACAAAACAGAGGACTTCTCAACATTCCTAATGAAAAGACTAGAGATGAATAGAAAAATCTGACATAAAAAACACAAGAGTCAGGAGAAGTCTAAAAAGGTAAACATAACAGAGAAACCACAAGGGACTAAACAAGGTTAAACTACTCCTATATGGAGAAATGATACATGTACCCCTCAGAACTCTATCATCATCAGGGGTCATAGAGGGAGACTGGGTGATTCTTTACATTTTGGTAATCTCAAAAGAATGGAAAGGGTGGGGAAGAAGAACACCCTAGGAAAGAGGAAAGCTGAAGAAGAATGGAGAAAATTATCTCACATAAATAGGATGTGCAAAGAGAACCTTATACAACAAGGAAGGAGGCAGGCAACACTTTGAACTTCACCTTCATCTGAACTGGTTCAAGGAGGGAATAATACACATATACAATTGGGTACTTATCCAACAAGGAAATAAGGAGGGAAAGAGAGAGGAAGAATAACAACTCGGGTAGATTAAGGGAGGCATTAGTCAGAAGAAAACCAGACCCTTAAAGAGCAGATAGAGGGGAAAAAAAGAGAAGGAAAAAAGAGAAGAAAAAATATAATAAAATAGAATGGATGGAATACACAGCAAACATAACTGAAACTGAATGGGATGAACTCACTCATAAAATGGAAGAGGAAGCAGAATGGATTAGAAACCAGAACCCAACAATATTTTGCTTTTAAGAAAGACTTGAAACAGAAAGATACACACAGAGTTAAAATAAGGGGCTCCAGTAGAATCTATTGTGCTTAAGATGAAATAAAAAAAGGCAGAAGAAGCTATCATTTCAGGTAATGAAAAAAAAAAAACAATTAGAAAAAATGCAAGTTAAAACAACTCTGAGGTACTACCTCTCACCCATCAGATAGGAAGGGAAAATGACAAATGCTGGAGAGGTGGGAAAACAGGTACCCTAAGGCAACTGATGGTGGAATTGTGAGTTAGTCATTCAACTATGCCTGAAAAGCTATTGAATTGTGCATACCCCTTAAGCCACAACTAGGTCCATATACTAAAGACAACAAAGGAAAAGGACTCATGTACAAAAATATTTATAGCACTCTTTTTGCAGAAGCAAAAAAGTGGAACCCAAGGAGATGGCCATCAGTTGGAGAATGGGTGAAAAAGCTATGGTTTATAAATTTGATGAAATACTTCTGGGCTGTAAGAAATGATAAAGGGGATGATTTCAGAAAAATCTAATTAGACTTGTATAAACTGATACAATGTGAACTGCAAAGAACCAGGACAACAATTTATACAATAATAAAAATATTGTAAAGATAAATAACGTTGAAAGTTTCAGTAACTATGATCAATACAATAACCAACCACAATTCCAAAGGACTCATGATGAAATATGCTTGATGGACTCAAAATACAGACTGAACCAGATTTTTTTCTTTCTTTTTTTTATTTCTGCACATGGCTAATGCAGAAATTTGTTTAGTATAAATACACATATTTGTAAAAGTTTTTTTGCCTTCTCAATAGGGAGGAAAGGGAGAAGGGAGAGAATTCAGAACTGAAAATAACAAAACTGAATTTAAAAAAAGAAGGATCATGTTGACAGACATAGGGTGATAGGAAGCAAAGCTCTGCAGGGATTGAATAATTTAAGATAAAGGCACAGAGATTTCAAGATGAAAAAATGGGGGAAACAATGGTGCTACTGCCATTTTGCTCTGCTTCTAACACTTCTTTTTAGAGGACAACAAAAGGGTCAAGTGAAGACAGCCTGTTGTGAATGAGTGTCACAGAGAAAAACATTAGGATGAGAATTCAATAACCAAGGCTTATGTTGCTCAAGTACTTACTGAAACCACATCAGTCCATCAACTGGGGAATGATTGAACAAGTTGTGGCATATGATTGTGATGGAATCCTACTGTGCTATAAGAAATGACAAGCAGGATGGTTTCAGAAAAACCTGGGAAGACTTCTATGAACTTATGCAAAGTGAAGAAAATAGAACCAGGAGAACACTGTACATTGTAACAGCAACATTGTAATGATAATCAACTGTGAAAGACTTAGCTACTCTGATCAAGACAATGATCCAAGACCATTCCAAAGTACTCATCATGAATGCTATACACTTCCAGAGAAAGAACTGATGATCTCTGAGTACAGATTGAAGAATAATTTTTTCACTTTATTTTCCATGTTTGTTTTGTTTCTTCAGTATGGCTAATATGGAAATATGTTTTGCATGATTTCACATGTCTAACTGATATATTGCTTGCTTTCTCAGTGTGTGAGAGAAAGACTAAAAGGAGAGAATTCAGAATTCAAATTTTATTGAAAATAAATGTTAAAAATAGATAATAAATTTACTTTTAAAAGAAAGAAAGAAACCACATCAGTGAATGAGCTTACCAAGAAAGTATAAATGGAGAAATATAAGGCACTCTCTGGAGATAAGTCAAAATTCTTTACAAAACAGAGTAGAACCATACTCACTTTTTGTGCAGTGCATGAAAAGTCTGAGTAGGCATTATCTGGATGGACCTCCTTATTTCCATCACTAGTATCCATCACCAAATGAAGAGCATCTTCGCCTTTAAGTTCTTTACCACATTCTATTTCCACTTCCAATGATAGCTGGGATTCGCCATTCTCTATAGAAGAGATAGGCAAATTATGACAGAGAAAAAAAATCAGCTGAGGAAAATTCTCAATATAAAATTTTCACTGGCTAACCAACAATTCCTTCTTCTATCAATCAAGGAAGCATTTATTAAGCAGCTATGTGCTATGCCCTGTACAAGGTACCAGAGCTGTAAAGACAAAAATGAAAGTCCCTGCCTTCAAGGAGCTCACATTTTACCAGGGGACATACCGACACAAATGGATACAAAATACATATATGTAACCAAATTAAAAATTAAGTCAACCCTTCCCCTCATGTGTAACAGGGTTCTTTCTCAGTTCTACTTAATGTTAGTGCCTTCTTTCCAAGATTATTTCCAAATTAACCTGTAAATATTGTATTTGTACACAGTTATTTGCATATTGCCTTCTCCCACTGAATTGCAAGCTCCTTGAGAGTAGACTGATTTTGCCTTTCTTAGTATAACCAACACTTGGTATGGTGCCTGATACATAACAGATGCTTAATAAATGCTTGTTGATTTAACTTGATCTGGATCACCAACCTCACCTGTAAATCAACCCTCAAGTGACTATTTGATTCATTCTTACATTTAATTTTATCATTCTTAGCTCTTGAGTAATCCATACTCAAAGGGTTTGTCTATTTCCTCAATAAAATTTCAACATGCCTCTCAATTTCATCAATGAATCTCAAATCCCCTACCCTAGTTCATCAAATTTTATTTAATAAATTAAAGGAACCTCCTTTCTCAGTTCTGGTTAGATGGGAATGGAGGTGAATTGTCTAAAGAGCCTGATGTGAATACACAGTAAATTCATACAATTAAAACTTTTAAAAGATAGATGGCTGAAGGATGGATTCAAAAGTACAAGGTAATCCTATATGAATAATTTCAGGAACATGAAAGTTCTGAGGTTAACAGGAAAGGCTAAGGACTGAAAAAAAATGGGGAGAAACCTAAAGTTACACTAGGACAAAAAGGTAGATGAAAGAAGATACAGGATCATGACTATCTTTTTGATAAGGTTACTAAATTGGGATAAAATCAAGAGTATCCCTCAAATATAGTATACCTTTATTTCAGCAAGGCATTTCACAGACTGGACAAGGAGACATACAAGTTAGGTGATAAAATTAGGTAGATTCAGAACTGAATGAATGACAGGACACAAATCAATATTTACCCAGAGGGCTCTGGAAGTGCCTCAGAAATCCATGCTCAGTTCTGATCTGTTCAAGTTTCATTGCTGAATTAAATTAAGGCATAGATTGTATGCTGTTCACTTTTGCAGGTGACATTAAGCTAGAAGGGAGAGCTAAAATACTGGACAACTGAACTGAGATCCCAAATAAGCAACAACACTGCGCCAAATCTAATAAAGATGAAATTTAATATGTAAATTACAGAAACATAAAGTCCTACATTTGTTTTTGTTTTTAAATCAGTGAAAGAAGTACAGGGTCATAAAGTAATGACCAAACAAAGTTTAGAAGACAAAGGTTTAATAGTTTTAGAGAACTGCAAGCTTAGTTTTATTTAACAGTAGCAAGCAAAAAAAAAAAAAAAGCTAATGCCACCTTAGGCTGCATCAAGACAAGCAGAAGGGAAAAAAATTTTTTTAAACAAAAAGAGAAACATAGAGCTCAAAACAAAGATGTTAGCCCTATTATACTCTGTCCTAACTGGAAAAACTGTGTTCAGTTCTAGCTGCCATGTTTTAGGAAGGACCTTGATAAGTTAGAGAGCTCATACGACCATCAGTTAAAGGACTAGGGATGTTTAGCCTGAAGAGAAAAAAATGATATTCTCTTCAAGTATTTGAAAGGCTACCTCTGTTAGACAGATTAGACTTTCTGCTTAGCCTCAGAGGGTCAAACAGGAGCAACAGACAGAAGGTACCCTTCCCCATGCTTCTCCATCTTCACCAGCAAAAATCCTACTTCTCCTTCAAGGCTCAATTCTAATCCTATCTCCCTCCATAAAGCATTCAAGTTTTCCCATAAAAGTGTGCCACAGGCAGTTCTGAATCTCTCTAAACATCTAGTACTTCAACGATATACCCATCAGTTCAATCAACTCAACATCTACTATGTATATGATTGTAGTATTTATTTTGTATTACAGTTATTTGTGGATTTTTTATTACCATCACCTCTTTTATGATATAATCATTTTGTACATGGGTCTTACTTCTTTTGACTACATCTATCCACTTCTTTGGAGCATATTTTACTTCTTATCTTTGAATCCCCCAGTATGGAGGATATAGGGAAGTTGAACTGAGAAAGCCCAACTTTCCCCTTCTAGGTAAGTTTACCATTCCTCTCCAGATCTAAGTTTTAATCTCCCTTATCCTCAGTCTCAAAACCAGGCTTTCCTTGGATCTTTCCAAGTTTAGGTACCCATTCCTACAAATATTCATAGAATATTCAACTATATACAGTACAGTTCATTTTATTCATCTTTCACAAAAAAAGGGTAATGTCCAATTAGGAAAAGGAAAAGGAAATTGGAGCCCTTTGTAAAAGAATAGCAGCTTTCAAATCTTGACTCAACTCCTACTGAGCAGAATGCTTTCTAATTGGGGTAACATTCATCTACAGAGGAAACATCCCATTTGCTGTGTCCAATCTGATGATAGTAAGGGGCTAGGGTGCTGGCAATGAAAAAAGAGAAAATGGTGTGTCAGATGTATTTCAGAAGTAGAACTGAGCCCCAATAAATAAGCAGTCACACGATAAATAGTTTTGAAAGACGTAAGCTATCAACCACATCAAAGGTTGTTCCAAATGACAAACTAAAAGAAATGTACTTTAAAGCTTTGTGTTGTTCTTTTTTGTTCAGTCATGTCTCTCTTCATGACCCCATGGACCATACATAGCAGGTCCTTCTGTCCTCCCGTATCTCTCAAAGTCTATCCAAGTTCATGTTCATTGTTTCCATGACACTATCTATCCAACTCATACTCTGCCATCCCCTTTTGCTTTTGCCTTCAATCTTTCCCATCAGAGCCTTTTCTAAGATCCTGTGAGTTTTTCTTAAATCCTTTGAAAGATAATAGCAAAATGAAACTAGTCAGTGTTGAAGGGGCTATGGGAAGACAGGCACATACTAATGTAATTATGAATTATCTAACCTTTCTAGAAAACAATTTGGAATTATTTAAGAGAAATCATGAAACTGTCCTACCCTTTGACCTAGCAATGACACTAGTAGGCATAGACCCCAAGGGGTTCAATCTGAAAAATAAGAATGGAAAGAGGAATAAAGATATGATTACTCAGCAAACTCACAAGAAACCTTTCTGACCTTTAAATTTTATTTCACAATGGCCTTAACCAGGAAGTTGGGTAGAGAGGTTATTTTGTCACCAAAACACTAATCTTTCAAGTTATAAAATGTGAAAGAATCTCTGAAATAAAAGGGATTTCAGTGGCCATTAAGTCCAACCTACACCTGAACAAGAAAGAATCTACAGTAAGTAGTTCTCCTGCCTTTGCTTTAAGGCTTCTATCAAAGAGGAAAAACTGCCCGGCCCTGAAGCAGCCTACTCCACTTGAGGATAGCTCTGCTCAACTTAAGAAAAAAAAGAGTTGTGAAGTTTTTTTGGTTTTTTTTTTTTTTTACATTAAATCAATCTCTCTGTAATTTCCAAACATTTCTAGTTCCACTCTCTAGGGCCAAGCAGACAAGCCTAATAATGATGATGATAATAACAGTAATACCTGGTATTTATAAGAGTGCTTTAAGGTTTATAAAGTGTCTTACATCTATTAAATCATTTGGTCTTCACAACAACCCTATGAAGTAGATATTCTTATTAAACTTATCTTTACAGATGAGGAAGTTGAAGCTGAGAAGTGAAGTGACTTGTCCAGGATCATAATGCTAGTAAGTATCTGAGGTGGGTCTTCCTGACTCCAAGTTCATACTCTATTTAATGCAACATCTAGCTATACCTAATTCCTTTTCCATATGACAAAGCTTCAAATACATAAAAATGGCTCTCATATTTTTTCTTCTACAGAAGAAACACCCCCAGTTACTTTAAACTATCAAATTGCAAAATTTTAAGGCCCGTCACAATCCTGTTTGCCTTCCTCTAGATGCTTTAATTTATTAATAAGGTCTTATCAGTGGTATTAAAGTAGCAGGTCAAATAAAGTAAGATGTCACATTCATATTGTTCTAATGTCAAAGATGGTAACAGTAAATTCCTGAGAGGGCAGGGATTTAATTAATACTCTTCTTCCTGAGACAGCAAAAACTCTACTGGGTTTGGAGTTCAAGGTCTTTTTTTTGCCACTTACAAGTTCTGTGGCCTTCAGCAAGTCACTTAACCTCTGTTTCCTTCAGTTTCCTCAATTGTAAAATGGGGATAATAATTAATAGCATCTACCTTCCAGGAGTGTTGTGAAGATCAAATGAAATAATATTTGTAAAGCACAGTGCCTAGCACACAGTAAGCACTATATAAATGTCAGTCATTAGCTATTATCATTATTATAAAAGAATAATTTACTAATTCAGTCAGCTTATATTCCAACTATTTGATAAGTTTGGATCCACTTTTTTTAAGTCAAGCTGTGTTCAAACACACAATCCTCTCTAATTGACCCATTTATCTCCCCTCACCTGGCAAGTTCTCCTACATCTAGGAACACAGCATCACCAATTTAAAACTTACTTGCTTACTCCTACAAGTAAGAACCCATTTTTGGTTGAGGGCTCAATTGCCACAAAGCCTATAATTTTTATTTTAATTAATTTTATTGTAACGTACAGTACCTGGCACACAGTAAATGTCTGTTGATTGAATTCACATACACCCCTTTGAGACAAACCAGGAAGGGTTAATTCCCATCTGAATCTGACTGACTTTTCCCGCCTTTTCTCAAAAGCCCTTTGCTGGGGAAACTCCCCTGTCCTAAATAACAAATAAGTTTTATGTACATCTTTGGTTCACTAAAAATCTTTTCTTTTGGTTTCCAGTTCCAGGAGGTGAAAGACAAATGAAACTGAAAAGTGGTGCTTTAAGGAACTACACAAAGATTCAAATAATTTGGATGGTAAAACAGTTCTTTCCAAGGTTTTGTGAAATTGTAAAATTGTGAAGAGAAAAAAAATTTTTTCTATAATCACTTGCAAGAAGATAGGAACCATGAAACACTGTTACAATTAAATTTATCCATCCAAAATAATTCTCAATCCTGAATTCTATATTAATGCAAAGTAGTACATGTTCAGTCAGATGTTCTAAACAAAATATTAAAAAAAAAAAAAAGGCTGGAATTACTCCTCCATGCCACTACTCAGCCATTCCAATACTTAGCATTTTCCAGACCACCCCAACCATGATACATTTGCCCTTACTCTTTGGGTTGACTGTAGGAACCAAACACAACCCACAGCTGCTGCAGAACTTGGGAGCTTCATCTTTGGAGATGTGGTGACAACTGGGGCACTTCATGTTCCAGCAGAAAGAAGACCTCAAGGAAGAGCAGGTTTACCCCTAGAAGGTTTGCAAAGAAGAGAAAGAATGATAAGGAAGGACAGTCAGCTAATTAACTAATGTCATGTGATCACATCACTAGTTAAGTTTCATTTCTTAGTAAATAAAACTATGCAAAGAATCAGTTTTTTCTATTCTGAAACTGAAAGTTAACAATTACAGCACATTTCAGAAGGTGCAAATCAATGAAGCTTTCCGTATTTCTCAGCTGGAAGTCATATCTCCTGCCTTTTAACTCATAAGGCACTCTCACATCTTACCTCCAATTATACACATTTAATGTTACAGTATCACAGATTTAGAACTGGCAGGGATATTTGTGTAGTCTAATTTCTCTCACTGGACTACACATACATTCCATGAGAACAGCGACAGAACCAGCAAGGTGTGGTGAAAAAAGGACTAGATCTGTTAAAAGGGGTTTTGTTTTTCTTCTGGGGAGGTAGAAAGGGACAGGTTTAAAGAGGGAAGGACAGGGTTGGAGTGAAGAGAACCCTGCCTCTGACATCCGCTAGCTGTGTGATCACAGACTGTCAACTCCTCTGAGCCTCTGTAACATTAATAAAATGGAGGAATACTTGCCCTTACCTCTCTCAGAGGGTTATAGTGAGGACGGTGCTTTGCAAATCTTATTGCACTATATACACGTGAGAAACAATTACTCATTTTCGTTGCTCTCACAGCACCTAGAGCAAAACCTTCCAGATAATAATCAACATTTGTAACGTACTTTACACGCATTAGGTTATATGTATCTCTCCACAATCCTGGGATACTTACAAGTATTATAATTTCCTTTTTAGATATGAGAAGAGAAGCTCAAAGAGAGTTATGGGATTTGCCTAAGGTCACACATACTTCATCTTCCTAACAAAATGAAGATACTGTATTAAAATCCTATGATCCTAGCAGCACTTAAGAGATGTAGGGCTGCAGTTTCACCTCCCTCCCTGAGGGGATTGCTCCGCGGGCCGGAATAGTATCGAAAGCACCAAGCACCGAACAGGACTAGTGCCCCCTACCCCCCCCCCCCCCCCCCCCAACCCCAACCCCCCCCCCCCCCCCCCCCCCCCACTCCAGACACTAGACGAGATACAGAAAGGGTCTGTCAGGTGTCAGCGCTTCAGGAAAACGAAACTATTCTAGGGCAGGGACAGGCCGGCAAAACGGAGACGGCGAACAAAAAGCGAAACCAAGCCTTCAGCTGCAAAACATAAACACGGTCACCTGCAACCCGCCCTTCCGCAGGACCGCTAAACCCCAGGGTCGGAAGGCAAGCGAAGCAGCTCGAGTCCCGAAGGCGCCAAGCGCAGAGCTACAGCGTACAGCCCGGGGGCGGAGAGACAGGAAAGACGCCCTGGCGCGCGCCTCCCTGTCAGCGCTTGGGCACGCGCCGGGATCACCGCCCCCACCCACACCCACCGGCACATGCCCCGCTAGGTGCGGCACGCGCCGCTCAGCCCCGGCCCCGCACGTCCCTCACCTGAGCCAGGGTGGGGGCTGGGGAGAACAGCGCGAGGTCCCAGCCGCTGCAGGCTCAGCACCTTCCACCGATCCCACAGGGGTCTCAGTGCGGACGCAACAGCCCCGCTCCCTCCCCACGGAGCATCCTCCCCTCGTCCCCTCCTCCTCGCTCCTAGCCCAGTTTAGGTTTCGTTTCCTCCACTCCCTCAAGCCAGCCGCAAAGCCCCACTCCACCCCGCGACTTCCTAGAACTGCCCGCCCCCGATCCCCCCTCCTGACCCCGCCTCCGCCGCCAGGCTGGGGATGCGACGGAAGAGGCGGAATCAACAACCTATCTGACCGAGTTGCTTCCGGTTGCTGCCCGGATCCGTTTCCTAGCAACAGCCAGTCGGAATAGGGCTACATATTTTAAAGGGTGCGGGGATTGGGGAGGGAAGGCGATCCCCAGAATGGAAAGTCTCGGCCTGAAACTTGACCCCAGCAAAAAAGCATTTCTGCTTCCAGATGATGTAATCTGACTTGTAAAGAATGTAAGACTCACTTCCTCCATCATACTGCAGGGTTGAAGAGAGGATGCTAATCCACCTGCTGGACACCTGCTAGGTGCTGGCACCAACCAAACCCCGTACACTACCATGGTGCTTTCTAGATTTAGTGAGTGAAGAACTACGGGAAGCCCCATAGTACAGTGGAAGGAGCAAGAAAGAGCTCATGAGACTGAGGCTCTGGCGTTCAAATCCTACCCCTGGTCTTCATTACCTGGGTAACCTTAGGCAAGTTACATAATTTCCATGAGTCCTGTATCCTCATCCATAATACCTGGGGTGGGGCACTAGATATCCTTCGAGGCCCCTTCTAGCTTCATGACCTGAAGCTCAGTGATTTGTTCAAGGCCATATGCAAGTTTTAGTGGCAGAACCAGGATTAACAGTACCTAGACATTTCTTGACTCTCAGATCTATCTTCTGACGCCAAGGCCAACTGAATCTCTCTCCATTAAACCATGCTCTCTTTCCAAGTATGTAACTTGCACATGCTTAATAAGTGTTCATGGAAGTAATCCATAAACGCTTTAGCCCACCACAGCTATATGTAAATATATACCAAAAAAAAAACCCAAATCAGGTGAACCAATGCAGCCAGCAGTCATGCATCCAAAGCCAATTGTGATGTATAAAAAGTTTGAGAGCATAATTTCTGTGTAATTAATCATTTTATTAATTATTTCTAGTGAGTGATTAATAAAAAGATGGTCATTTGGCAGTCTCTTATGCACCAAATACCCCTCATGGAACCCACTCAACAGTTTATATGCCCTTGGAAGAGTGAGTGATCCTGAGAATGGAAATCAATTCTGTTTGGTTAACAAGTAATGAAAAAATGAATGTTATAATGAGAGTTGGGCTTATTCTAATGAGGGTCTGGAGGACTTGACTTATCTCTCAGTCTTGGACAGATACTTATAGCTACCTAGACCCACACCCACCACCCCATCACTCTAGGGCAGGGGTGGGAAACCTATGGCCCTCTAGGTCCTCAAGTGCCCCCCTTTGACTGAAACCAAACTTCCTAGAACATTTGAGGACCTAGAGGGCCCAGGTGGCCTCAAGGCCACAGGTTCCCCACTGGTAGGACAATCTAGACTAAAGAGGGAATCCACTTCCATTCAGACCTGTCTGACTAAAACACAATGGGTCCAAATTCATTACTTCCTCTAGACTAGAATTTCTTTGCCTTTTGATCAGATCTAAATTTCCCCAGTTGGGTGAGTTTTGCCCAATATTTCATTTTGTCATCAGTCCCACCCTTCAAATGTTGACTGGATAACTTATAGGGGCTGATTTCTGATTGAGGAAATAGGATGGGGAAAAAAACCTTTGTCCTAATTTAATAATTGGTTATTAATAGGAGAGAGAAATAAAAATTTCTCTCACTCCTAACCTCACTCTTCCTGAACTTATTCATATTCACCATGATCTCCAATACAACATGAGGCTATGGTCTTCATTTCCCTGTTCCATTATCTTTTCAAGCGAAACAGTTTGAAGAAAGTATCCTTTTTCAAAATATTTCCTGTAGGCCTATGGCTACAGAAATTAGCAGTCAACTAGTATTTATTAAGCAACTACTATATCTCAAGCACTGTGCTAAGTGCCAGGAATACAAACAGAAAAAGAAAGAGTCCCTGTCCTCAAGGAGCTTATATTTTAATGGAGGAAGACAAAACATAAAAGGAAGCTGTGTTGGAGGGGAGAAAGTAAGATGGGAAACAAAGGTACCTGGCAGGTACCAAAAGTCCTGCGTGTAGCCTGGAGAGACAGGTCAGAGTTGACCTGTGTGCTCTCCTTAGATGGAGGTTCTAGACAGACCTATCCAATTAAGGGGAGATGCCACAATGATGTGTATACAAACAGTATCCTCAGGGTTAAAAAGAATATTAAGGGTTGCTTTTTCAGTCCTTTGTGAAGCCCCTCCTGAGCTTGAGGGCATCCCAAAATCTTTTCCCCTTATCTTGAAATACTATAACATAAAATTTCCCGTCTTCCTTACCCTGTCCTTATCCTTAACCATCATAAAACCCTGAAACTACATCATCGTTCTGAAACCTCTATATAAGCATAACTCCCCCAAAAAACGAGTCACGTTCAGCTTTCTTGCTAAGGAGACCTGTGTTGCTTACACATTAATTAAAGCTCCCAAGCTAAGAGAAGTCTAAGTGAATTCTTTCATACCTGAACCACTCTCCTGACTCTGATCTCAACAATTCCTTCCTTCCTTCCTTCCTTCCTTCCTTCCTTCCTTCCTTCCTTCCTTCCTTCCTTCCTTCCTTCCTTCCTTCCTTCCTTCCTTCCGTCCTTTCATTCCTTCCCTTCCCCTTCCCACTTAGGGTACCACACCCTTAACCTGTGGATGCTCCGCCCAAAGAGAATGTAAACTTTAATCCCTGAAACCTTTTTTTTTTCTTAAAGACTTAAAGACTAGCCTTAACCCCAAATCACTCCAGCTCTCATTGATTTGCCAACAACAGGTCCCAGGCCAAACCCTACTTGATCGTTGTTTGGGTCCTGATTGGCTCAGAATGAATATATTAATTGTTTCTGTTTTGGCCAGAAACCCTGAGGGTCTTCCTCTCTCAGACCAATTGTTTTTCACTAGGTAAAGATGCCATTCTATGCCTCATTTCTTATTAAGACTTAATCATTAAATGGGCATTGCCTCAGTCAAAATGAGAGCTGTTAAAGACCTTACCTTGAAAAGGCCAAGGTCCCCCACTGCATCTTGGGCCATCCCCAGCTGTCCTGATCTATATTTGGTCCCTGGACTCAGATGGCTCTAGAGGAAAAAGTGGGGCTGGTGACTTTTCACAGCCCTCCCTCACTTAAATCAAATTCACTTGCATGTCATGACATCACCTCCCTGATGCTGATGTGGTGCTTAGGTGCTTGTGTTTGGGTGCTTGTGCTTGTACTTGGACCTCAATTTCTCCCTAGTCTCAGAAACACTGTCTCTGACAATTTCCCACCAGCCCAGGGACACTGTGCCTAGCAATTACTCATGTGTGGGCCCCAGCAAGACCCTTATCTCTCTCCCTGGTGCAGCCACACAAAGCTGGGTGAGAGAGTGCTGGGCTGCCCCCAGCCCTAAGATCATGTCACTGGAAGCCTACCAATTCCTTAGTAAGCTCCTGTCTTGTGAGAAAACTTTCCCTTGTTGCAGAGCATTCTCTAATCAGGACAGAGAGGGGTGTCTTGTTTGGCCCAAGGAGTTTTGTCCCTGACTGGCCCAAGGACTCTTTCTCCTGCCAGACTCCCATGCCTTTGACATCTCCCTCCCTATTTGGTATACTCCCTACACTTTCCCATCCATAGCTCCCAAAGACACCTGGACCTTTAGATTACCTAATCAGTATCCCTGGCATTCCTTTCCATTGCCCTTTCCCATATAAACCCTAGCTCAATCCTCAGTCCCTCGCAGGTTCCTTAAGAATCCTTGCCCGCTGAAAAGTGTAACAATAAACTTTTTGCCAACTTGCCTTAAAGAATGCCTGAGTCTGTGAACTCATTGCAGACGATCCCATCCTATACTCCAGTCTTTGAGGGGTCTCAACCTCTCAGACCACAATGATGCCATGGTCCTCTTCAAGAACGAAGGACAAACAACAACAACTTCATAGTCTAGCAGGGAGCCTTACATATAAAAGGCATTCAGTCTTTGTTGAAGATATGTACTGAATTGTTTTCAGAACCTTGATTTAACTATACTTTCCTGCACATTAAGGGGTCTTCGATGTAAAAATCTATAGTACAAACTGAAAAAATGGCCCTTTCTCTTTGTAGCACTAACTTGGCCACACACCAAGGAGATGGGTGCGTATAGGACGTTTTTTCCTCTGTCATCTAAGAGAAAAGCAACCTGCGGGATGTTGTAAGACAGAAAGCTCAGGGCACACTAAAAGTTTTCATTTTCCCTTTTCTGGTTTTGAACAACAAAGACACTCTGGATGCAGAGCTTGTGACAGTTCAGAGACTTGTAACCTTGCCCTGACCTGAGAGCATACTGTTCCTCAAAGTGATACTAACATTGGAGAGTATGTCTGGTACTGTCTAGTAGAGAACATCCCTGCCCTAATTTACCTACCTTAGTATCTCTTTGCTTTCACCCAACCTCACAATGCTACAGCCACCTCTTCCTCTCCATTCTTCATCTCTTCACCACTCCTCTGCCTATACAGGCAAGGTTTAGAACTTTTTCGACTTTTCACAGTACTTTTTTTGAAGAGGAAAGGATTTATGGTGCTTTCTTGGAACTTCAAGATAAAGATAGTTATCTTGCCTATGTCGGTTACATTTT